TCATTCTTCTTTAAATGTGTCTCTATGAGCACTTGTAGATTTTTCTCCCACCTCTTCATATCCATTATGCATTATTTTAAGTACTTCTTAAACTCCAAAAAGATATTTTATTAAAACAATTTATCTTTCCCAATTGCTTCCATTAAGAACCAAAATATTTAAAGGAAATTCATCATTTGTATTTGTGTTTGCTCTAGCAAGAACACTTAATTCACATACCTTACTATGTGTTTCCTAGTTTAGTAACCCCTCACAAGTATCTCGTGTTTTCTGGTTAAATTGTATGAACCGCAAGTGCACGGTTGTGTCAATTAGTAAAAAGGTCAAACCCACTGAGAGATGTATGATTACCGAGTTTTACTTCAACTATGTTTATCTAAAGCGGTCATAAAAGAGTTTGTTTGATGCAGTTTGAAAAATAGAAATTAGTCAATGATAAAAATAGGACATGGGATTGTGGATGCAACTCTAGACATACCCCCAACGATTTATCCAAATTCAATTACGAGATTAAATTGAGAGTTTTCATAGAAAAGTAGATAAAAGTGTGTGTCAGTCACCTTCGTGGCGTGCACAATTTATACGTTGATCTTGGGACGCCTAACGACTTTCTCATTGAGATCAAGTCTCCTTGTCAATGGCGCTTGAACTCAACTGTCTAACAATTTGCTTTCAGACATTAATACATATTCTTTTGAATCATGCACGTGTCCATGTTGCAATTGCTCTCACAACCGACATAGACGCGTCAATTGTGACTCGAATTCTAAAATAAAAGACACTCAAAACATTTCTTGTAATATATAGTGGATAAATTCATTGGGATTGTCATGAGATAATCTCTCACAACCCCTTGTCGTTAAGGGACTTCTCACACATGGTAAAGTAAACAACAATAATAAGAATACTTAAAGATATTTGCAAGAGAAATAAATAAATTAAAACAAGTAAACGCAATAACAACTTGAAATTAAAATGAAGGCAAGATTGCAATATCAAAAAGTGCAGAAATTACAAGAGAGTCATAAAAACTCAAGCTAAGAACTAAAGAAAAAGAAAATTGTAGCAAATGATAGTAGTGAAAGTGATGTCTTCTCTTAATGTCTAAGCCTCTATTTATATTAATTCAATGGATAAGTCACTAAATAATTGGCACTGATTTTGAGTTTAACTCTCACTAGTCATTAATCATAAAAGTTTGGGAAGTTACATTAGCCAAAAGGTCACAAAAACTATCAAAAATTTATAACTGCCTCATGACTGACACGGAATTGTGTCAACATCTTGTCCAACTACTTGTATTGGCGTGCTTCAAAGGAGGTAACACGGTCTGTGTCATAGAACAGAGTTGAGGACTATGCACCTTTGTGAGAGACACACTACTTGTCTACCTAAAATCTTAAGGTAATAGATAAGTGGGTTCTCCCACTTATATATGTTTAAGTCTCCACATTTCTATCTAATGAACAAATAGATTGGAAGTTACAACTTATGCATATTACAATTGATAACAAACTCAAGTTACAAACAACTTTTATAAAGTAGTATTGATTAAACAACCAACTCAACTAACTGACAAATTGGTTAGTTAATTAGTTAAGACAATAAAAACTTAGGTGAATTACATTTTAGGATAAACAACTAACATTGATTTACCAACCTAAGTTGGTCATTGTCACTCAGTGGTGATCTACGTCTGATTAATTCTACAGTAATAAATTTGATTTTAAATTAATAAATTTTTTTAAATTGAATCTAAGCGGAAGGTAAATAATGTAACGTATGTTTTAATAAATTTATATAAAATTGAGTTGGCCAATAAATTTAAAGATAGAATTAATATAGCTTTAATTTATAGTTTCAATTAGAATTAATTTCTGAGAAAAAATCAATTCTATTTAGTATAATCATTCTTAACTCCTTCAAAATTAAATCAAACATACATTTAGACCAATTGATTGTGAGATAATCAAAAAGAGTTTGATTCACTCAATTTGTTACTCTTATAAAATTAAGAAAAAAAACATATATTTATGTTGAAAGTAGGTTAATAGAACACCCACAATGATGATTTATCTATAAAGAGTGTTTACATGAATTTCAAGTCTTTTGTTAATTTAAAGCGTTGACTTAGAAAGATAAAATATAAGTCGTTGTTGGAAAAAGAAAAATGAATGATTTAGATTACTAGTAAACTCACTTAAAATTTCTAATATATAAAAATGTGGAATGATAAAGGAAGATACATAAATTCAACACAAAAAAAAATTATCATCATTAAAAGAACATAAATATAGTATATAAAGCTTATTTTATATTGCAATAAGTAACTCAAATCATTCTTTGTTTATTGATATCGACTTCTAAAAAACCATCTCTTATTATATATTAGATGTATTAATTATTTAATAAATTTAAAAAAAATTATTATTCATAAATATGTTCGGATGATATATATTTAAAAAAAGTCTGAATTGACTCTTAAGAGACTAAAAATTGAAAATAGTGATATATAATGTTAGGAGTAACATATACTCCAACTCAAAAGAGAAGATAAAATGATTTTTTATTCTTTTGTAAAGTTAATTTGATCGTAAACAAACATAACGAGGTGTTAAAGAAAATTACTAGTAGTAGTTAGGAGGAAGCAATGATTGAATCACGTTGTAACGGAATAAAAACAAGAGAAAGAGCACTGATTGTCACCCACATGTCCTTTTTGACTTGTCCAAAAGATGATAATCCCTTTCATTAATGACATGTTCCTAAATAAAGAGTACAGAATTTTCCTTTTTCACAGAAAGGCATGGATGGAGTCCATTTGCATTAACACACTGCAACTAGCTTTCTTCACTCGACAAACCAACGCGTACGAATTTTGGTTCAGAACAAGTGCGTCTCTATTTTTATCACCACAAGTGCAATTCAGTTTTATATTTACTACACATTTATTACATTCACATTAGTACTCTTACATATTCCAATTTTAAATTAGGGGTAATACTCTTATATTGTGGTTCAGATAGGGGTAATACAAAGCTTATTTTATATTGCATTAACTGTCTCAACTATAATATAAGAATACTAATGTACATATACTAAATGTGTCTAAATTTGTTTTTTTTATTGTTATTTTTAAATTTTAAAATAATTATAATTATAATTTTGTCAAAATTATTCTTAATATTTATTATGGAAAGAGAAAAAAATATATTAGAATAATAAATGATTAAGAATATTATAGATAAAAAATAACATCGATCATTAAATTTTTTAATATATTTAAAAAGTCAAAAAATAACAATTATAAAAGAATAAATGGATGGAGTATTAATTACATTTTTGTCAATATTACCTCTAAATGAAATATTAATTGGACTTTTGTCAAAATTACTCTTAATTATTTATTGTAGAGAAAGAAAAAATCAAATATATGTGATAAATAATTAAAAATATTATAGATAAACTGAAATTTATTATTTAAAAATAAACAATAATAATTATGTTTATTTTTTATGTATAAGCAATAATTTTGTTTCTTGATATGTTTTAAAAGTCACCATTATAAAAGAACCAAGCAAATATTGTATGGATAATAGTAATATATGTCCTAAGAACACATCGCAATAGAATTTTAATTAAAAAAATTTAAATATAATAAAATTATATTTAAAATTTTAAAAAGTTGAATGTATTTATTTCAAAATAGTATTGTTACAAATAATTTCTTAACATGTGTCTTAATTTTTTAACATGGTTTTTAGGACAAATGTTAACATTTTTCTTATTTTATTTTATTTACAATTAGAATGTGTTTGATTTGAGGTAAGTGAGAAGAGGGGAAGAGAAGAAATATTTTTAATAAAATATGTTTAATTTAATTTTTATGAAGCGATAGGAGAGAAGAGGAGAGGAGAAAATTATTTCAAATCACACTTTTTACCTCCTCCAAATCGGAGAGATTCGAAAGAGAAGAGAGAATGTGAATTTAAATCTTTAACAAATTAATATATTTACTGAAATATCTTCAATATAATTTTAATAGTTTAATATTATTACTTTTATTTTTTTTATTATTATTTTTCTTTGTTACTTCTATCAATTTATTATAATTATTCTTCAATTTCAAATTTTTTTATTTAATATAAGTTATAATTACGACAATTTATTTTATTTTTTTATGTTTATTTATGTTAGTTTTATTATAATTTTTTATATAGAATTTAAATCATTTCATTTTGTTTATTATATCGTAAGATATATAATATTTAATAATAAATTATCTTATATATTCAAAAATTATTAATGTATTCAATTTTTTTTAACATTAAATAATAAATTATGATTTTTTTAATTACTCAAGATTATAAATATTATTTTAAAAAAATTTTACCTTTCAATATCATATCATTTATAAAAAATTTCCCTTTCAATATCATATCATTTATATAAAATTACAAAAATAAAAATATAAATTATTAATAAAAAAGAATTTCTTCCATCATAAACCAAATATATTTTTAATCAAAATTATTCCCCTCCCTCCCCTCTTTTGAACCAAAGATATATAATTAAAAAAAAAAATTCTCCCATTATCCATTAAAATCCCTCCCCTCCTCTAATCTCTCATTTAAAGTAAACAGACCTTTAATATAATATAAATAAAGACAGTTGCAGGCACGCCCGCAATTCAGAAGAAGAACAATAGACACCTTCCTCCATCTGGCATCATGCAGGGGAATTACCATCAATGCCCCACACCGACAACATTATTGAAACCATTCATTTTATTCATTATTTAATTTTTACAAATATATAAAAGTAACAGAATTTTATAAATAAAAACAAACAAATATTGATCATATACCCATCTGTAACTACACGAAATTAAAAAATAAAAATAAAAATGAACCGTTCAATAAATTTCTATGCTACGACAAAAGTTAAAATATTTATATAGTTTTTTTTATATATAAAAAAGAATAAAATATTGGAAGCTGTCATAGCTTTGTCTTCTGTACTCTGTTTCCAATCATCTTGAGCTCAAATTTCTTGATCACACCAGCAATGTCTCTCAGAGTTGTATCCAACCCATAAGGTGTTTTGTCATATGTGGTTTCTGTTGAATTTAGAAACACTTTACATGATTCTCTTCTTTGAGCTATGGTTCCATGATAATGAAAATATTTTATTCTTCCTTCCGTGTTGTGAGTTGTTTTTCCATCTAAATTCTGTGACATGTGAACACCTGTTGCAAATAGCCTACGTGGTTGCACTGCATATTTTCTGTCCCTTCTAATCCCTTTCTTCACATCTTTGTACACTAGCTTCTCAATTCCCCATTTCCTGAAAATTCATAGACCCATGTGAGAAAAATATGCACATAACATGGCCACAAATAATAATAATAATAGTAACACTACACCAATTGTTGTTATTAAAACAACTGTAAAGGCAACAAAGACATTCCATCTCATAACTCACTACAACCTTTTCCTACTTCCCATGGCATGCCAACAAAAATAATTAAATTCTCACTACTATTTTTTTATACTATGGTCATTGTAGAACTTTGTTGATAGTTCAAACTATTATGTTTCAACTATTTTTTATTTAATGATAGTTCAAACTATTATGTTTATAGAACTTTGTTGTCATTGTAGTCCTCCCCGACTCGAGTGATTAGTCTTTCGAGTGATTAGTTTCTGCATTTGAGTGCAGAGAATACCGAATCCTAGAAAAAATTCAAAATGTCGAACTTAAATTTGGACCCCGTGTCCGGATTACAGCTGGATTTAAGAATTGTTATGGGATTGTTAACATTGTAAACAGGTATTATAAATATTAATCAAAAGGATTTGAGTGCAGAACAAACAAATATGTCATGATCAAACCATACTTTTGGACAAGGCAACGACTCAAGGGTCCTAATTTAAGGTCAAAATCAATATGTAAATGCATGAAAGTTCAGAAAAAACATCATCTCTCTATGCAACACGGCTCTGTGAATTATGCACTAGTGGACCATGCAAGCAACAGTTTGTATATAAAGACCGACACCAATCTAAATGCCCATGAACATTATTATCATCACCATATAGCATGCTCTACGCTTTTTTCAATTACCATAATAAAGATGATGTAGAAAAATGCTACTAGTATAATAAAATCTTTACCTAATTCAACATGAAAATACTTGTGAATAATTGAAGACTAGTTTAAAATTTTTGGTAACACATTAAAGACTTGAACAAAACAAGACCAATTTCTTATGTTAAATAGTTAACAAAATTGTCCAGCTAATAAATTAGTAAGAAATTAATCAACTTAGAACAAAGTTCAAAAGAAGACCCCACATTGACCTGTCTAAAGAATGCCCATAACAAAATCCAAACAGATGGTATGCAATAATACATACCACACATCACAAATCAATCACTCCACCCCCCACACGCAAGGAAAAATAACAATGTTCAACCACTCAAGATCTACAACATTATTTAAGCAACAAAACAAAAAAACTATACAATAAATAAAAAAACCAAATTTTCATCCTTTAAATGAACTACTAAAGTAAATGTTAACCAAACAAACCCCATTATTGACTCACTTCATAATATCACACTCTAACACTGCATAACAAAGATCCACTACAAATCTTGCAAAATTTTAACCAATTAATTCCATAACCGACACAAAAAATTCAGTTCATAATCTGCATCAATATCACAGCACAACCCATAAACCAAAACACAATCATAACAACAAATAACAAAACAAAATAACCGAGTTAAAAAATAGAGAATTATAACAATGTACCTATAAGTTTTTCCATAATCAGAAGAATGGCAAAGCTTGTTATTCATCGGCATCTGTTCAATTGTAAACTGAGAGTATTCCGATAGCGAATCAAGCACCGATTTAATAGTACTTTTCGGAGGAACATAGATATACTCATCAACATCAAAGAAGAACATCCATTTCCCCATAAATTTATACCTATGCAAACAATCATTCACAACCATAAACTGATTATGATAATAGCCATCAAATCTCTCTTGATCCCTAATATCTTGCAGAGTCACATACCCAAGCTCAATCCACGGTTTCAAAACCTCATAAACCTCTGCATGAACACCACCAGCATCATGAATCACAAAATGTGAACTAGGTCCGAAAAACTTCACATGGTAAGCAATCCATTCACGAACTCTTTGCGGATTCAAGTTTCCGTAAAGCGATGAACCGCAGTAGAAATAATCGTATTTCGGCTTCGAAGTGAAAATCGATAAATCTAACGTTCCGTTTGGCTCGTTAAGGACTTCGATTCTGTCGGTGGTGTTTAAGCTTGTGTCACCACCGCCGGAAGTTGAAGCGTAGAGAATCAACTTTCCGCCGGTGTTGTCGGTGTTAATATGCTCCGGGAAGGTACAGTTAACTATCACAACCGTGTAAACACGACCGTATCCCCAGTCAGGAAGCATCTTATAACCGACGGTGGTGATTTTTCTCGAATCTCCGTCACCGGAGGCGGAGATCCATTCACATTCGTAAGTCGGTTTACTGTAAAGATGAAGTGGCTTTGAAGCTACACCGATAATGGCGAAAGTGTTAACGCCACCGCGATAAGCTCCCATGGTGACGAAGTTATAAGCAACGGAACCGTAAGGGTTAAAAGCGCGTTTGATAATCCCGTTTTCGAGTACACGTTCATTGTTAACGGTTGGAACTAACGGTGGAGGTGGATTTGGAACTGAGGCTAACGATTCAGTAACGGTAACAAACTTTTCCGCTACGGTTAAATTGTTTGCTGTGGTTGTGGCTGTGGTGTTAGGGAGTGTTTGGGTGACTCTAGAGATGCAAAAGCGAATATCAGAAGCTGAAATAGTGAAACGAGAAGGAATGAATTGGAGGAAAGTGGCGACTGTGCAGAGAAGGAAAAGCGTTGTTATTAAGAGCTTAAGTTCGGCAGCGTAGTTGCCGAAAAGTGATAGGAAGAGCTTTTTTTCTCTTTCTTTGGCCATTGTGGTTTTTTTTCTTCTTTCTTTTCTTCTTCTGCTTCTTTGGAGAAGAGAAGAAGAGAAAGCGCTTTTTTTTGTTCTGCTTCTTTGGAGAAGAGGAGAAGAGAAGAAGAGAAAGCGTTTTTTTTTTGTGGGTTTGGAATGAGTGGGGTGTGTGGTTTATAAACGGAGTGAGGTTATGATACAATTAGAAAGGGAATGTTATGATTTTTGATTGAAGGTTGTGTAATAACTTTGAGATTATGAGATAATGCCGACCATTAAATTTTTTTAAATTAACTCATAAGTTTTTATACAAATATTTATTTATTTTTTATTTGATTAGATATATCTATAGGAAAATTATATCTTCATTAATGCAGAAAAATTATATTTGATTTATATTAGTATGAAGCCACTCATAAAAAGATTGAATGGATACATCAAATTCTACGATTAATTATATGATTTTTTAGTTATTAACTTGCTATTTTTGATGCAATACTTCACATGTTTTGTGTGTAAGTAATACCTTAAATAAATAAATAGAGGTAATTTGTGTTTGTTTTTTCTACGTCTTTCCAATAAATAAATAGAGGTATCAAATTCCTCTAGTTAATTTCTTAAAAAATATAATGATTAAAATGATATAGTACTAAAACATAGGAGAATTTATTGTTTATATTATTTTGCTTGATTTAAAAGTTTACTAATAGTATAGACTGGCAGAAATATTATACTTTTATTTTTATAGTTATATTGTATTTGTGTGATAAATTTAACTATTTATGGTCAATTTTGTGAGCAGGGCTTTTTTTATTTTAAATATTTCTTTCTCGCAAGTATATAAGTGTTTTATAATCATTTACAACATTTTTTATAAATCATTTCAAATCGTTTATAATTTATCATTTTTTATCTCAATTTTCCTCTTGTTAATATTTTAATTTAGGTATAATAATTAAAATTATATGCTTTGTTAGTTAGTTCAACATTTAATTTAATCAAATACTATGAATACAGTATGTTGTTAGTTATGAACAAGTTTAAATTAATTTACATTTTAAATATAAATGAAAAGTATTGTTAGACATTAAAAAAATTAAATTATAAGTCGTTTGAATTTTCTTTATAAATTAATAAATGTAATTAATGTTTTTAGACAACTAATATATTAGAAGGTGGGATTTTTTTTGGCATTTTTATATTATAATTGAGATTGAAAATAATATCTATAATTATTATTACAATCAGATTCACTTTTGTTAAAGAATACTAGTATCAATATTTTTAAACGTGGGCGATCTTTAATAGGATCAAGGAAATAATCAAAAATGAATTTGGATGTAGGACTGCACAAAGATTTATAGTTTGGATTGATTTTTTTGAAAGACTCGTGTCCAGAATGGATTCAGAATAATTTTAAAATGTTTAGTTTATCAAAAATAAAATTAATTTTGGTTTTAAAATTTATTTTATTTAAAGTTAAAATTTGTAACTTTTTGTTATAAAATTGATTCTAGGTGATTTTTAAAATGAAATTTATTGTTCAATTTAGTAGGCTACACTGATTCGAGTTGGTGTAATGATGTCGAGGATCGAAAATCTATAACAGGAATGTGTTTATGTTAGCTGGTGCACCAGTTGTTTGGAGTCCGAGAAAGAAAACAGTGGTGTTATCATAATATATAGTTGCTTCTCTTTGTGCATATCAAGTAACTTGGATGATGAACTTAGTCGAAGAGATAACAGGCAAAGATCATGGAGCAATTACCATGAAGATCGACAGCATGTCAGCTATCAATCTGGCGAAGAATCTGATAGCTGGCGGTCAAAGCAAGCACGTCGAATTGAGGTTTTACTATCTTCGAGAGCAGATAGCAGATGGAAAGATGAACTTGAAACACTGTAGAGCTGAGAATCAGATTGCAGACATCATGACGAAGGGCGTAGAATCAGATTGCAGACATCATGACGAAGGGCGTGTAGGTCGAAGTATTCAGAAGACTAAGAGTTATGATGAATGTAGATAGCTTAGATACAATGAATTAGGTGGTGTATTGAAAGAGTAATTCCTTGTGTCGAAGCACTTTGCTAGACAGAGACAAGGGAGTGTCGAAAAGATTTGATTTGATTTAGAAGTGTGAAAACAGTTTGTTACACACAAATTTAATTTTAGATTTAGATATATTTGATTTAGAAGTGTGAAAACAGTTTGTTACACACAAATTTAATTTTAGATTTAGATATATTTTATTTAGATCTAAAATAGAATATATTTGATTTATTTCTAAAATATGTATTCATACTTTTATAGTTTTGAGCTTTTGGCTTAGAGAGCAAGCTAACATAAATCTATAAATAGAGGGAATAACCCCTTTTTTTTTACAATCAAGTCAATCAAGTTGTATTCACAGAATTTAAACTCTACAGAAAAATATTTTCTTTCTTCATTTTTTATTTTTAATTGTGTGGTGATATCAATCCTCATTAAGATTTGTAGAAATTTATCATCATAGGTTTTGCTGGATTTCCAACGGTGATATCATGAGCCTTTGGTTTCGAGATAGGGATTGACTTACTTGTATCGAAACACTTTCCGCAGGTGGTGGATAGAAGGTACTCCATTGAAGAATGTCAACTATGGTACAAGTGTATCTGGAAGAGAGAGTTACAAGTGTATCTGAAAGAGAGAGTTTTCACATGAGGGGAGCATTATGCTCACACTTGAGTGGGAGTGTTGAGAATCAAGTGTGAGGAAGAAGTCTCACATTGATTAGAAAATAAAAGATTGAACACTATATAAGTGAGAACACACACCTATCACCTTACGACTTTTGGTAAATATATGGTGTGTCTCTTATAATAAGATGTGTCTCAAGTAAAAAATATTCTCTACTCGAAATTGCCCCTAACAATTTTTACATAAATATATTCAAACATAAATTCATTCTACTAAATTGAGTTTTGTTACGATCAATTTTATCAAATTTAATTCTATTAAAATCAATTATATCCACCGCCAATATAAATACACATTTTTGTAAAAGATTTAATATTTGTATTGATAAAAAAACAATATTGTTATTAATATACTATTGATGTGTTTTATGAAAGTGATCAAAATAACTAGTTAGTAATACAATTTTTTTTAAATGATTAATGTTTTATTAAAATTTATTAAAAAAAAATATTTTTGTAAATAAAATACTTATTTTAGAATATATTATCTTTGTCTCTAATTATAAAACCTTTTTAAGTTTTTCTCTTATCTATTTTTATTTTAAAAAATTCAATTTTCAAAATGCATTAGTAACTTTTTTTCAAATATATTCTTAATTATATTATATATTTTTCTGTAATTTATAATAAATATATTTATATAAATATTAATTATTCATCTCTTTTAAGAATAAATTTATAAAATTATATAAAATTTTAATAAATTTAATACTCTAATTAATTTTTTTTAAGTAACTTGATTTAACTTTTGGAATCTTAAAGACGGATATAGTAATATAAAAATAATTTAGAATTTGTGACAGTTTTTTTTTATGTATAGCTACGGTTAACTGTAGTGTTGTCTGCTAATCACCGTCTGATTCGGTGTTAATTGTCTTAATTTCTGTTTCGGATTACGGTACAACCAATGAGTAGTTAACTCACTTTGCCTTTAATCATGTTTAAAGATACAGTTGTTTTAGTAAAAAAAAACAATTAAGGGAACAAAGAAAAAAGAGCTACCACCAGTATGGGGAAAATGATTAAAACCAACTAGGGAAAAGGTAAAAAAAAATAACTTATTTTCTTTGGGAAGAGAGAAAAGCAACATATTTAGGTATTGTTGTAAAAAAGCTACGGGTATTACAATTAGAGTACTAAAAAAGAGGCAAAAAGATGAATAAGACAGGGTAGGTCCTAGGCAATTTTTTTATAGTAGGAAAGAAAGAGAAAGATGGAGAGATGCAATCGGTTAGTATTGGACTTGTTACCGTTAGAATTAGAGGTTGGAACTATAAGAAGGTGATAGAAATAGAAACAGGATTCATGGTGCCCACCGTTTTGGCGTGAAGTGTCAACACACCCTACGTTCATATCGTTTTATCCATTTGATTGCCGGTTAACACAGCATATATGGTAGTATTTATCCATAATAATTCATAAATAAATTTTGTTTTTTAAATTTATTTGATAATTAATATATCAGACCAATATATAGATAAAGATATATTAATTATTGAATAAATTTAAAAAATAAAATTTGTTTTTTATTTATAAATCATTACAGAAAAAACAGTATTTTAAAATTAAAAGTAAGATTTGTGTAACATATTACATAGTATATACGCAACGAATATTAAGGGGGTGTATTTTGTGCATATTTTTATTTGAGAATTTTTTTTATACACTCTTGTAGGAAAAAAACATTTCTGAAAAGTTAAAATGTTCTTTGGATATATATTTTCGAATAAATTCTTAAAGGGTGTTTCAGATATGTATATTCGAACGAATTTTTTTTGTGCATAATTATAATTTAAACGTTGGAATATAACAATCAGAGATATTTTTGGAAATGTATTTTTGATCACCCTACAACTATTTCATCCATTTCTTTCCTCCATAACCAAAATCCTTTTCAAACCTCTACCATTCTCAATCATTTTTTCTACTCCAAATCAAGCTCCAAGTGGTTTATCATGTCAAAGGGAGCATAAAAAGTTTCAATTTCAAGTATAAATCCCTCATTTCCCTCCTAAATCCATAGCATTGGTTCTGATTTTTGAAATAAAAGACAATGTCACTTCAGATATGTATCTTCAAAACTCACCTAACTTATTTCAAATATGCATATCGAAAACATTGCCTGTTGCAGAAACATAATTCTGTTTTGACAGTTTTATGTATTTTTTCGATTATAGATATGATGCAACCCGACAACTGTCTGAAAGCTTTGGCGAAGGTTCCGAACATTGTGAATGAGGGAGAAAATCTGGAAGAGGTTGGGGATGATAATAAATCAATTG